CGGAGTTGCTAGCCCCGCGACCAACCCTCCTCCTTTCTCATCCTGGACTTCGGACCAGGTAATGGTGGTAGCATCCCTGCCGGGGAACGAACCCGGTGCCTTTGGATTAGAAATCCAACGCGCTATAGGGACACATAAAGGTTCATATTAGCGATTAAAACAGTGTATAATAAAATAATAGTTGCTGGGACAAATGGCTATCTAATTTTAAAAATATACACTCGATGCAATGGATCGGGCGTAGTTTAGGGATTAGCGTTCACGTACTATAAATCCAGGATTCACGGTTCGCGTCTCATTGCCACACAATTACGTTCCGCACTTCGGGGCTGTGAGTGCACTATAAGAGTAACAGTCAAATCCAACTATTCGATCAGAGGATTAGACATAGTAGCCCAGGATTTAACGACGGGTGTTATTGACTAACTGCCTTCCGTCTAATCTATCAGTTATAAAATTGAGTTTGGCTATGCGCAGATAGCTTATGTGTAGCTTTGCGCAAAACACTGAAACAAACAAACGAACAACACTTGAACATTGTGTGAGCATCGAAAGCCATGATATAAATAATTTCAGCAAAGTTTTTATCACAGAGGCATCTTTGTGTGAAGCAGACCTACACGACTTTTTGTCTGTTTCTTGATAAATGTTATCAAAAGACTTTGTCATTCATCGAAATGTCTAAAATGTAGAGTGAGGTGGAAATCCATTCACATAAACAGTGCTGTTTTCAAAGTGAAAGATGTTGTTGACCTACCATCATCAGCGTGTTCGTCTCTGTTAGTTCTAACATCTGGGCCAGAAACACCAAAATCTCATAGCTCGTCTCCCACGGAATCAGATGACGTTCTTTCAAGAGGTATTCTGTCATAGCCAGCATGACATCATAATCCAAGAGGTTAGCTTTGGCCAGCATCGAAGCATCAAACAGTAAGTTGGATCTATCTGCCGGAAACAGGGTCTGAAATAAATGCGGTCAACAAAATATCAGCTTTCTTATTCACATAAATAACGCTATGTACTAGAAAAATATGATAAAATTAGTTTTTATGCTTCTAGAGAAAAAAGAATAAAAATCCTTAACTCATTTATATAAAATACTAGAATTATGTTTACTTTTGACACTTAAAACACAGAAAACATAAAAAAAGCTATCTAATACAACATCAGAACTCATTGTAAAATTCGCTCCCTAATGGCACAAACAATCATTGTAAAATACAAGTCATAACATTGGCCAAACAATTATCTACCCAAACAACACATTTTAATTTAGTAAAACAATTCTTATTGCATTTTATTAATTTAAGGGTATTCCTAGAATGGATTAAATTAAGTCCAAATTAATCACTTTATTGTTATGATGCTTAGGAAGGTTTAGTTTCCGATTCAGAAGACAAATACTCTTCAAAGAAGGATTCTCAATAGGAAAAAAAAGAACAATGCGATATTTGTTGCAACTTCTTGTAAGCTTGAAATAGTCGGATGAACAATATCAAATTTTGACACAATCTATCACATATATCTCTCATATAAAACTTAAAACTGCCTTTTATACACACGAATACTGTTTAGTAAATATCACGGACATTATTTCTTCACAAGAGTTATAATTACAATCTTGTTTAATTACATACCTAATTAATGCAAATATCTTTCATTTCCATTTACAACTTAAAACAAAGAGCGACAGAAGAATTCATAATTAATATATGATATGATAATAAAACAAACTCATTAAATCCAAATAAAACAAAAAATGTGAATTGAAAATAAAATGCACGGATAAATTAAGGTGATTTTAACATTTTTCAATGAAACAGAGGATCAATTCTAGGCTCGATGATCATAATGATGTTTAATTTCGATCAAGATGACCTAATCCCGTTATTCTCGGGTACGTCGATTTTGTAGTATTTATCCTTTTTGAAAAACAAAAACAAAAAACATGAGGGAATCCTCAATAACAGCGGCACTTGAAATACTTTTAAGCAGAATTAGAGTAAATTAATCTATGAGATATTTTTTTACCTATATATTAGTTATATTTTTGTGCGCCAGCAATACCAAGCGTGGGGCGCGCGTATAACTGATTCGATTTTATTACTCATCAGGATTTTTACCAGCCTACCCTCAAATTGGAATTTATTTAGGCAGGATTAGAGTAAACTAGAGCACCGTGACCCGTTGGATCAACCAATATTCAGAGGTAATGAAGAATTCAAGCTAATTTCAATATTGCGTCGAAATTAAGATTTATTTTGAGATAATTTAATTAAATATTTCAATCCATTTGTATTATTCATAATTCAAGAAAAAATATTTGATTGTTGATCGGGAGTAAAAGGTAAGACCATTTCATTTTTCAAAAAAGTGAAGTAAGAAGTTTCGTAAAGAGCGCGAACGGTAGTGTGAATGATTTTTGACTGAGAAAATAAGCAAAGAAATAAACAAACATTCTCAGGGTTTTAGTAGTATAGAGATAGATTCTTCAAGATCTTGTTTTTGTCATCTTACGCCTTTTAATAAAGATGAGAACATTGACAGGGAAATAATATAATAGCCAATGCTCGGCGAGAGGTTTTCGTTTATAAAATGTTGTTGTTCTCGACTTGATTTTTATTTTATTACCTCGTCTCCATAGTTACTATTTGCATATAGTCAATAATATTGTAGGTCCATTTTATTGTTCTTCTTTCTACGCTTCGTTATAACACATTTTCATCTCATCATTTAGTTTCTGTTGTGCATATAGTTGTATATAAGATATTTTAAAGTGATTCATCAGGTG